TTCACTTTGTCTTGACTTCCTCATAATATTGTTGTTTTATTAAATGAGGAACATCTAAAAGCACCTAGAATCCAACTTAATATTCATTTTTATTAAGAAATTTTTTTGCCAACTTATTTAGATAACTGCCTATAAAACATGTCTACTTACCTAATTATGAAATTTAGCGTGCCTTAAAATCCCATCGTATTACCTTGCCTTGCGTGAATTCCCAGGTATACACAATGATTTCAGGGAAAAAAGCCCAGCTGATAATACATTTCAAGAACAACTGATTATTTAAAAAACATTGTTTTTGTTCTATTAATAACTTGAGGGGAAAACATTAAATTATACTCCACCTAGCCAACAGTGGTTGGCCTCCATTTTGCATGCTTCAGTTTCCACTCCAAAGGTGCATGGTTCTAGTTTCCTTTTATCTTGATTGAAGAGCACTGAAATCATTTGTTCTTCTGGAAGAAGCCTGAAGACAGATTGAGAAGGGTCATAATATTTATTCATAGTGGCTAGAATTTAGGTGGGAAAAGGACGTGTGGGATGTAAGTCTTTTGAGTTTAATAATTGCCTCTGCACCAATGATGAGAAATGAGAGTCCGACCAAATGAGGTGACAGACCGAAGGGGTAGGTTTGCTGGGGGCCCCGCCTCCGTTCGTGTTAGGGGAATCCTCTCTCAGAGGCTTGGATCTTGGGAACACTGCATAAGCCTGCACATTCAAACTCAGATTAAGAAGGGAGGAGCAAGATGGTGGAGGAGCAGGAGACCAAACTCAGATTAACCAGACAAGATAGATAAGTGCCTTGACATCTGTTAATGAGAGGCAAAGCATTTTGTTTGGTTTGTTTATTGTGGAATTTTTTGTTTGTTTATTTTTACTTTTTAAACCCCAGAAAGTTTTTCTTTTACCTGTGTGTGTTTAAAGACAGCCACAACCATCTCTTGGCTGTTTGGGAACCAGTACCAATTTAATGAACTAGCCAAGGACCTTGTTTTTCTTATCAGGGAGTGTCCTTAATAATGTGTGTACAGATTAAGCATGGAATGTCACAGAATGTTGGAATAGGAAACGTCTTTAGCATCGATGTAGTCATGTCCCTTTTTATAAATGAGGAAAATGAAATCAATATATTTTATTTATTTACGTAACAGATACTTGGGTAGTATTTATCATTGACTATGATGGGTCAAAGTGCTTTCCATCTATTAATTCATTTAATCTTCAGGACAACCTTATGAGGTTGGTACCCTCATCCCTATTTTACAGATGAGGAAGTGGAGGTACAGAGGTTCATTGGCTTGTCTACTGCCACATAGCTGGATTCACAGTCGGGCTGTCTGATTTCCAACCACCCTGCCCTTCTGCTTCTTACTGTGTTGGGTTGACCCTCGCTCTGCCCTCTGGCTTCTCTGTTGGGAAGTGATGATTAGTAGTGGAGCTGGGATTCGAACCCTAGTCTTCTGACCCCATGCTTTGTGCTCTCCACTATACCAGGGTTCTACATAATGAGAGCTTGAACTCACACCATTTTTATTACTCAGGAGGGAGTATAAAGGTTTAAGTAGAGAAAAGATGAAAGCTGTAGTTTGAAAGAGTATTTACGAGATTATTGATGACTATCAAATAATTTCCTTGTTTATAATCCTTACAGTTGATCGATTAAAAAACATGCTTTCTGGGGGATGTAATGTGCAGCATGGCGACTACAATTAATAATACTGTAGTGCATATTTGGAAGTTGCTAAGGGAATAGATCTTAAAAGTTATCACCAGACTGAGGCGCCTGGGTGGCTCAGTCAGTTAAGCGTCTGACTCTTGGTTTTGGCTCAGGTCATGATCTCAGGGTCATGAGATTCAGCCCTGTGTTGGACTCTGCACTGGATGTGAAACCTGCTTAAGATTCTCTCTCCCCCTCTGCCCCTGCCCTCCTCCGTTCTCTCCCCACCCCCCAAAAAAGTTCTCATCACAAGAAAAAAAAAATCTGTAACTTTGTGTGGTGATGAATATTAACTGGACTTACTGTGGTGATCATTTCACAGTACATACAAATATCAAATCATTATGTTGTACATCTTGAGACTAATACAATGTGTGTCAATTATGCCTCGATTTCAAAAAAACAATAAATTTAGTGATATAGTATGCAAAAAAAGAACAAAAGGAAAAGAAAAACAAAAACATGCTTTCTGGTTTTAGTTTTCTTCTTCCTCTTAAGGACTCGAGGAGACAAGCTTCCTCAGCTCGGCTTTTGAAGGCTCCAAGCTTCCAGTGCTTCCCTTGTTTCTCAGTGTGGCCCACGGACCAGCAGTATCTGCATCACTGAAGAATAGTGAGAAATGCAGGGTTTCAGACTCCACTCTAGACCTCCTGAAACAGAATATACATTTTAATAAGATTCCCAGGTGATTCACATGCACATTATAAATTGAGAAGCAGAGCATCATACTGTAGAAAAGTGTCAAAATGGAAGCCCAGAAGTATACCATTTTTTTCAGAAAAATAATCAAGGGATGGGAGAGGTGCTCCACAAATCCAGACTGTAGTGGTATTATGACGTGCAAGAAATTGGTCCTTGGCCCAGGATCTGCTCTCATTTTGAGTTCCATTTCCCTTTCTTCTATGTGTCCTTTAAAAGTTGACTTCTCAGGGCACCTGGGTGGCTCAGTCAGTTAAGCGTCTGCTTTTGGCTCAGGTCATGATCCCAGGGTCCTGGGATCGAACCCCGCATCGGGCTCCCTGCTCAGCGGGGATCCTGCTTCTCCCTCTACCTCTGCCTGCCACTCTACTTGTGCTCTCTCTCTCTCTCTGTCAAATAAATAAATTAAAAAAAAAAAGTTGACTTCTCCAAGGTGTCCTCTTGGATTGATTTTGTATATGAGAGCTCTTTCATTCTTTCCTACCTGATATAGTCCACGTCTCTATCTCCAGATGAAATTTATCTCATGAGCCCCAGATCCATGTTTCTAGCAACACACCAAGCACCTCTGCCAGGAAGCTGTTCTCTTGTCTCCACTTCCTTCATGTCAGAATATCCAGAGCTGGACTCCTTGTTCTACCCACAGCCTCCTGTGTCTGGTATCTCAGCTGCCCTTAACAATTCTACCATCGGGGCGCCTGGGTGGCTCAGTCGTTGGGCGTCTGCCTTCGGCTTAGGTCATGATCCTGGGGTTCTGGGATCGAGCCCCGCGTCGGGCTCCCTGCTCCACGGGAAGCCTGCTTCTCCCTCTCCCCCTGCTTGTGTTCCCTCTCTTGCTGTCTCTCTCTCTGTCAAATAAATAAAATAAAATCTTAAAAAAAAAAAAATTCTACCATCAACTCAGCCTCACAGGCCAGATACCTTCTCTATCCTGGTGCCAAAGTCTTTAAAAACTGCAAATCAGATCACATTACTGTCTGCTGAACCCTTCAGTGACTCTTGATCGCCTGCAGAATTATGCCCGAACTTCTTCCCACAGACCACATCCAAAGCCCACAGGGGTCTGGCCTCTTCCTGCATGGCCATTCTTCCCCCCTTCAGTCTCTCCTTCTAGCACTGTGCCCCCATCCTCAATTCGTCCACTCTGAGCAAAACCCGAGTTCAAATGTAGGAATTAGACAAAGGCGCCAACAGGCTGTGACCCGTGGGCCAAATCTGCCCACTGCATATTTTTGTAAATAAAGTTTTATTGGAACACAGCCATCCCTATTCACTTTCATATAGTCTATGTCTACTCTTATGTCAACAGAAGAGTTGAGTAGTGGGGACAGACACTGACCCACAAAATCTAAAATACATACTATCTGGCCCTTTACAGAAAAAGTTTGCCAACTGGTAGAGAAACCAAAATGTGATGGTTTCTTGACTCAAAATGTTTGTAATCTCCTGTTTATTGCCAATGAGTTGCTGCTAATTTTCAAAAGTGACTCAAACCCCTCATATAAGGGCACAGCTTTGTACACTGTGTAGACACCAAAACTGTGACATTTGCCAGTTCTTTGCATCAGATCGGTTCAGTTCTTGACCTCAGCTGTTGCTATCAAACTAACAAACACAGGAAATCTTAAAAGTTCCTACCATGAGAAAAAACAATTCTGTGTGTGGTGACAGATGTTAACCAGATTTACTGTGCTGATCATTCCACAATATATACAAATATTGAATCATTGTGTTGTCCACCTGAAACTCCACCTGAAAATACAACATAATGTTGTATGGCAATTACCCCTCAGTAAAAAAAAAAAAAAAAAAAAAAGGAAGAAAAAACTCACAACTATAAAAATTGTTTTAATGGAACCAAGCCCAAGAATATTTCGAATGAAGAGATTACCATTGCCGATGACAACTTGCAACAGTGACTTGAGTGGGATGCAGTTGTTTATGTGATTTGTTTATCTGAAGTTTGGCCTTTATAATTCTACAGAATACTAGTCAAGAAACTTGTATTATAGTCCTTAGGGATTGGACGCTGCGAAAATCACCTTTTACTGCTCAGATATGCCTGGATTGGTTTCCGATTAAGAACTCCAGAAATATATATCGTTTTTAGTAATAGAAGAAAATATTATCGTCACCCAGAACTTTCAGAATGTCTCTTTCTGCCCTAGGTCCATTTGTGATGAACACCAATGAAGAGATTTCTCAGGCCATTCTTGATTTCAGAAATGCGAAAAATGGGTTTGAAAGAGCCCAAACCTGGAAATCAAAGATTGGAAACTAGTGAAGAGCACCAGACCAGGTCTCCGTGCTTTCTAGAATTTTGCCAGGCATCCATCCATTCAGCACATTGAGTTTCCAAAGCTGACTGAGCCGATGCTTCTAAAGTGATAACACGGTTTTTATAGCAATGCACACGAGATATTTCCTGGTCCATGCAAATAAACCTAATGGTTGCTTCTTTAAAAATCAGTGTTCTTCATTTTGATCTAAGTTACTAAGTTTCTGTTTAAACAAATCATTTTGTGTATGTCTCCCTTTTCATGTGTATATGAATGTTTTGTGATTTTTGCGCACGGGTGAGTTTTGTAAGCGTATCTGATTGCTTTCTGCGTGTCCCTGGCAGTGGATGTGTGAGCGTCTGAGGTCCCTTCCCGGGCAATGCAGTTTCCATGCAACATTCATGCCTGTGTGCTGGGGTTTCACATTACGGGTTATCTGCGTTAAAGTAACAGCAGTCCTGAGGGTTTGAGTCAGTTTTTAAACCGGCCCTGCTATTGGTAGGGACGCGACAGGATTACAGCCAAGACGTCCCTGCATTTTCTGCCAAAATCGCTGTCAGATTTAAGACACATGCTTCCGCAACCTTCCATGAGGGTTGCGAGAAAAGTTTGAATCCAGAATTGGGTTCCAGCCTTCTGTGGCTGTGACATTGGTGGCCACATCACCTCCTCACAGAGCAACTAGAACCTGGGGCATAGGGTGGAAGGATTGTTTTTGTTTTTGTTTTTTTTAATTTGCTGGACGTGAAGTGAATTTCGAGTGCTTTTTCATGTCAAGTGCAAGTTATGTCCACCTCCTGATTATTTTTGGAGCATGAGAGCATTTAAATTTTTTTTTTTTAATCTCTCTCCCCGCATAAGATTGAGCAAAAACGTTCCTTGACTAATTGAAGTCATTTCATTGGATTTTGATCACAACTGATTATTTGTTTTTTTCCATGTGAAGTCTTGGGGTTTCGAACTTTCCTTCTGGAGAATGCCTTTTGAAACAGTTTGCTCTCGCTGCCTGATGTCAACTGCTTGGTAAACCAGTGGATATTAAAATACTCAAAATGTACAGACAATGGGCCATGCTGAATGTTTTCATGATGTCTTATCTGCAGTTGGTGCAGGGCTCCAGTTATGAACATGGACCAGTGAAGGTAGGTGGCTTAATTTTTAGTGTGATGCAGTTTTCTTATTGGCTTATACAGAGGACTTTCTTTCTTTGCCCCCCATTTTCCAGACAATATAAGACACTCCTAGTAGTGGACAGGATATATCTTGTGTTGGTTAATGAGTATTCTGGTTCTTAGGCTTACTAAGATTCTTGCCATGCGTGTTTGAAAATGCTGGTTTGTTGTTGTTGTTGTTGTTGTTGTTGTTGTTGTTTGGAGATGTAATAGAACATGAATGAGCCTTCTGGGCACTTTTCAGATGGCTAAGTTTCTCCTTAATTAGATATGCAGATGGCACAGTGATTTTCTAGTGAAACACTGATTTGTTTTTGTGACACGGATAACTGTGTGGGCCATTTATTCACATTGTTTATAAGCAGCAAACGTTAGTTTAGTTTAATTTCTTTTGTAAATCGCAAACTGCAATACTTTCTCCAGATAGTTTCTCTCTGGTTTTCTAAAATACCCATAGCTACCATCTAGAAAAATGTCTTCTTGGAAGTCGTTTGGTTTTTGGCTTTTTGAAATGTGTAAAATTCAACAGTAATTGAATCCTTGGTTCTATGGGCAAGCCTCGGAGCCAGATGAATTGAGAGTAATGCAAAAGAATTAACTGGGATGTTACTTGGCGAGCAATATTTTGCCCAGTTTCATGTATTTTGTAGATTATACTGTTTTCTTCAGCTCTTTAGTTTGAAAATGATTTGGATTTAATTGTTTTGACATAAGCGGTGCTGAATTGTTACTGATTAAGGAATTTCTGGCCACGAGCAGTCAGATATGAACTTGAGGTTTTGTAGCTGTTGTTAGGACACACATTTTCAGCAGGGGTGATATCGCCCCCAACAGGAGAAGATTGGTCCTTGGGGTGAACAAGTCTTCCTCTCATTCCATGTGGAGTACAGATGTACACACGGTGCCTAAGCAGACACACAGTTTGTCTGTGAAGGTTGAACGCTGTGCTGGGGGACAGCCACCTTGTCTGGCAGTCTACTCAAGTCTTTCTAAAAAAAAAAAAAAAAAGAAAAAAGAAAAAAGGAAAATCTAGCTTCCCAAATTCCACATGCACTCCGGAGAACCCACAGCTGCTGTTCGGCTCCCCCTCATTGCCACCGGCGTGCGGGCTGCATCTCGATGCCAGATGGTAGGCGAGAGGAATCCACTGTTGAGCCTAGGTGACAGGGGAAGAAATTGGACTTGTTCGAAGCAAATAAGACTTCTCAGGCTGTTCAGCTTTTTTGAAGTCCACGAAACTCAGGAATCCTTTAGATGTGCTGGGTTCATGGAAGCTTTTTTTTTCTTTTTTCCTCTCCAGTGTTACGCATGGATTTAAAAAAAATGTTTCCATTTGACTTTGAACGTTACTGCATTGGACAGCACAAGAGGAGATTTTGAATTGTTGGAAAGAAGTAATATGCTTGAGGTTCTTCCGCTCTTTTAAAGAGCTCAGACACCAAGAATTCTTTAGGTGTCCTAGGCATGGTGAGGTTTTAAGTGTTTCAGATGTACTGATCACACATGAACTTATTTCATGGGGCGGTGGAAGAAAGAGTTTGAATTTGCATGTGACAGAAGACATGTCCTTACACATGGAAGATGCAGCATTATATGCTTAGTAATATACTATTAGCGATTTTTTCATATATGTCTGAGTTTCCTTTAAAAAATGAAGCTCCAGGGCGCCTGGGTGGCTCAGTCGTTAAGCGTCTGCCTTCGGCTCAGGTCATGATCCCAGGGTCCCGGGATCGAGTCCCACATCGGGCTCCCTGCTCTGGGGAAGCCTGCTTCACCCTCTCCCACTCCCCCTGCTTGTGTTCCTGCTCTCGCTATGTCTCTCTCTGTCAAATAAATAAATAAAAAATCTTAAAAAAAAAAATGAAGCTCCATATATTGCGCTTCTGTCTACCCAACCCCTAGCTAAATTAAATGTTTCCGATGTGAAAGGCGGGGGTGCCTGGAGTAAGCAGAAGTTTTGGCATAGATGTGACTGGGTAGTGTGAGGGATAAGGAGCTGCACCATATTGGTTATTGGACTTTTCCTTTAGCCCCTTTTTCTTAAGAGAAAATCTAAGAAGAAATATGCTTCTTAATGTTCTTGTTTAAATGAAAATTTAGTATGGAAGTGTATTCGAGATGGTAATAAACACTGGGATATGAATTTATTTTTTTGCTCTGGGATATAAAAATGTTCCATTTATTATTAGACATTTTCAAGTTCTTCCTTAGTAGTAGGTCCATGAACGTGTTCTTCTCTCCACCCTCCTGTCTTCTAGCCCCCTCTGTTCCTAAATGGATGGCAATGCCAATTCTGTTCCCTAGGTTGCCCTTCCCTTACAGTCCTCACTTTCTGTCCTTGAACATTGTCCTTGTCTTCAGGTTAGACTAGCATTGCCTCTACCCTAATTATACGAGTCTGTGAATATTTTTCCTGCAACAACCATGCATCCAGCTACTGATACCCCAGACGATTGCACTTAATGCCACTGGAGTGTGAGGCATCCTAATTTCATTAGTCTTGCTACTTGTATTTAGGAGAGCTGTTTAGGGTCAGCAGTGCATGGACTTTGTGAACTGAGATAATTCTGTTTGAAAATCTCAATGCAAATCTGTATATACTGTTTAGCTGCTAAGTTTCTCAATCTAAGCAGAACACATTTTCTTCTAGAAACAGGGTTAACCCAGTGCCTGATCTTGGCTCACTGATATAATCAGATTAACCATCTAGATGTGGGATTTATTGGTGTCTGTTTTCTCCAGATTTTTTTCTACAGTTGGGGTAGTCCTATATAGTTGCACAGGATATGCACTGCCCAACTCTAGGAAGCTTTACATAGACTCACATCTGTATGTGACAGCCCTGAGTACCACAGTGTTCACATTCTGGGCATTCGGTCATAATTACCTATAATTTCACTGTCCAGTCGTTCACACTGACTGTCTGGCCAGCACTATTTCTGGTTTATTTGATAAGCAGTTCTTGTCATCGGGAATCCTGGCATCTCCTTGAGCGCTCCTATGAAGCCAGCCTCCATAAATCTTTTCAAAGTCACTGATGCAAACATACCACTAGAGTGATGAAGGAATAACTGCAGGTTATGGTAGGCTTCCCCCACTCTTTTCTGGCAAAATTGGTTTCCTTCTCCTCCACACTACCTCCTAGCCCCCTCTTTCTTCACTGGTGGATGAATGTTGGTGGGTGTTGGAGCCATTCAAACTGTATGTGATACCAAGACCCACTGGAACGTCTGAACTTTCATGAGAAGTCCCATGGCCAACAGGACTTCATAGGCTTGGTGTCACGTGCCTTCTCCTGAAATTGACTCTAGAGTGAATTGAATAACAAGAACTGAGGGCACCTTGCTTATTTCACTCCAGGAAGCAGACCCTCTTTTCCCCTCCCTCTTTTCACTTCCTAAGTCATTCACCGGAGAAGTCCATTGACTCTGTTGCTGGTCACATGGCCCAATGAGTTCTTGTTCACTTTTCGATCAGGCACAGTCCTTGGCACAAAAGACATTTGAAATGTTTTCTATTAACTTCTTCATTTATGAGCCTGTAGCTAACTGTGTTGAATTACATGCTTCTATACACAGATCTGTTCTACGCTAGTCAGTCACTTTTAACTGGTGGTTGAAGCTTTTATATCACCATAGCATGTTATTGGTATTCAGGATACAATAGAACCCACCGTATCTTACATCTTCCTTGTATGACTTATTTTTTAATTTAAAAATCCTGATTTGGACTTGTGGATAAACCTTTATTGTAGGCCCCTACGAGCACTAGGAAAAAAATACCAGTAATGCTAAATGTTGAACGAGTTCCATTATGGAACCCCTTTGGGGAGCAGCTTATAAAACGTAGTTTATGGGATGAAAATATAGTATTTGGACACATGAACCCTTCCGTGTAGAGCCTGATGTAAGATCTGGAACTCCTGGGTACATTTATCACTACCACAATTGGCTGGAGGTCCTAGAGAAATAAGGACACACATGACAGTAACCTTGTTTCTGAGCACATTTCTAAACTTAACTCTTTCCTACCACTCGAGATTAGCAGAGAGGGTGGGGAACTGTACATAATTGGGAATGTCACTGAGATGAGAGGCAAGGAGACCTTTCTTCTTAGGTGGCTTCCATGCAAAGTCCAGTTTTTTCTCTCTTGGCACAAATTCTTATAATCTCTAGCAAGATACTAGGACATTATAAAGCAAAGACACACTGAGGCCTCCCTGTATCGTGAAAGATTTGACCGATCATAAGGTCCCAGTTGGTAAAAGATCTCCCTTGCCTCGCGTTAGAACTTAACTGTGTTCGACAGTTCATTCACTCAGTTGTTGAGTGCCTACTATGTCTGGGCACTGGCGTCAGTGCTGGAAATGCAACAGGAAAGAGGACGGTGCTTCGACTCTCCTGGAACTTACATTCCAATGGCGGGGAGAGGCAGGCAGTAGCAAATCTATAACCTGTCAGGGGTCGTGCCATGGAGAAAATCAGGCAGGAGGGGGAGACACAGAGTGATGGGTGGGGGAGACTTCTCGGATTTGATTTCACTTGTGCAGAGCCCTGAAGGAAGTGAGGGGGGCCGCGGCAACCGTTGTGTACTGGCCATGGGGAGGGCAGGGAGGTGGCTTGGGGGTTTGGGTCGTAGCCAGGGGGCCAGTGAAGCTGGAATAGGGAGGGAGGGGGCGCCAGAGCCACAGTTGTTGAGGTTGGCAAAGTAGCCAGGGCGGATCCTATAGGGTGTGGCTGTGTTCCAATAAAACTTTATGGATACTGAAATTTGAATTGCGTATCATTTTCATGCATTGTGAAATAATCCTCATCTTCTCTTCATTTGTTTCAACCACTTAAAATTACAAAAAAATCATTCTTAGCTCATGGGCCATAGTAAAATCGGCTGTAGGCTGGATTGGGCCCGCGGATCATAGTTTGCCAACCCTGATCTATATCATTACATGATTTTATCTTCTGCATTGTATGTATCAGTACTTGAAATTTTTAATTTGGTATAAGTTTAGTGCTTTGTCATCCTCCACTAGAAGGAAAGCTTTTTAAGAACAGGAACTTGTCTCTTTTTTTTTTCTCTCCTCCTTCGTTTTAAGAAGGTGCTTATGCTCCTTGGCATCGGGCATGCACCCCTGCTCCGACCCCAGCCAGAGTTCCTTCAGAAGTTGCTTATGCTCCTTGGCGTTGGGCATGCACCCCTGCTCCGGCCCTAGCCAGAGTCCCTCTGCCCCAACGGCAGCCAGTCCAGTGCACCTGCGGCGTGTCCTTCTTACCACCTGCAGGGTGCCCTGAGCATGGGAACTCTGCATTACGTGCTTCGGCATCTCAGTCACCTACTACAAAGCCCGTGAGAGAGTAGATACTACAAGAAGTGTGTGTGGACTGACTGATGGACAAGACCTCTGGGATTTTGAGATACCCAGCTTATAAACTGCTGCATTAAATAATCTCCAACATCTACTCTCACCATGGCTTGTCTGATTTCAATTGTTTACATTTGGAAGCATTTTTGATAAGGCAGTAGATTCACCCTGTGCGGTTTGCCTCTGGGGATTAGAGAGGGTTCACATGGCGTTATCAAAGAACCCTGCAGTGTCCTTTTAGCCACAAGCCCTCCCGTAAGGTGTTCACTGCTAGGAGCCAGTTACAGAAGGAAGTCCCCTTTGCCCATATTCTAGCCTAGTGGTCACAGAAAGAGAGACAGGCAGAACAGCATTGGGCCACACGGCAGCTCTGGATAAAACACAGACATCGTGATGATTTCCTTCACCTTGGAGATCCCTGAGAAGTGCTGTCCATGTTTTCATCTGGTGATTGGTGATTTGTGGGGATGTGGTAGACTATGGCAAAGTACTCTGGTTGGATACTTTATCAGTCAGCATAGGCCAGGATTTGCTGCAACGATAAGCACCCCCAAGATCGTGGCAACTCAGAAACAGGTTTATTTATTGCTCATACCAAAGGACCATCCTGGTTAGTTCAGGATGAAACTGGCTGAGCCTCCACATCTTGAATGTCATTAATCACTGTGACAGAGGGCAGGAGAGCCCCGGAGAGTCTTGCCTTGGCAATTAAATGTTCTGGCCCGGAAGTGACACATGTCACTTCTGGTCACAGCCCCTTGACCCATTGCTCCATCGAACCACAAGGGGCCAGAAAGTGCAGTCCTTCCATGTACTCAGAAGATAAAAAGCTGGAACTATTTGGTGAACGGTATTAATGACTAACACAACTCTGATTGCTTCTAAATATTTTTGAACATGTCTTTGAGATGGGAAACAACCATGGTTGGATACTGGGGTAGAGTCGCTGAAGGAAGGCACTTAAGTTTATTTCTCCTGTTCAAGAGTAGGCTCCTTTTCCCTGTAAAAAGAACAGCTGTACATTCAGTTCAGTAAGTATTTGTGGAATGTCTATGATGTGCCAGGCACATGAGTGGAAATGATATTTTTATGAAATAAAGATGTCTTA